AATGTAAGTAGAAAAAAAGGAACCACCTTTGCTGAGAAGGTAACAGTGTTCCGTGCATCTTCAGCATTTAGTCATGCTGGCCACATGACCATGGACAGCGCCATGGACAGCGCGGGCTCTTCGGGTTTGAAACGGAGATGAGAACCACCTCCTATAGTCGGGAATGACTAGAACATATGTTCAAGAAGAACCTTTACCTTTACCTTTATACTTTCATCCTAGCATCTCAGACTAGTGACAACAGAGAAGGAGGTTATATTTTATTTTACGTTAGGTTAGGTTTATTCGCTTTGTATGCTGCCCACTCCTGAAGGACTCTGGGCGGCTCACAATAAACAGGGGAGGGAATAAATAAGACAATACAAACAATTTTAAAATNGGGGGCAATATGCTGACTCTGTAAACCGCTTAGAGAGGGCTGAAAGCCCTATGAAGCGGTATATAAGTCTAACTGCTATTGCTATTGCTAATGCACAAATGGTACAAAGAGTGGTGAATGCAAAAAATTAGGGAGAAGATAGACTGAAGCAAGTCTGTACATCAAATGGATCCTTCTGCTTTCTTATCACTATCATTTTCAAGTACATATTACAAGCAGAATTGAATGTTATTTGTCCTTATACTATTGATGGCTAATCTTTTCTGAACTCAAAGCATATGTGCAGGCTTGAGTTGGCACTTGAACCCCAAAAGGCAATGCGCGTGCATCCCCCGCCTATGCGCCATGCCCATGCGGTTTCATCACGTGCATGTGTGTTCCACATGTTTGCGCCCCACCTCCAAGCATACACACATGCCCCCCATACTGGGTCTTTTCCCTAGTGCATGCGCAGCAGATACCTGATGACTAGCTGGCCAGTAAGAGGCACACAAACATGCGCAGCAGAGCTGAACTGGAGGGGGGGGACGGCTAATGTGCCAACAGAGAGGGCACTGCGTGCAACCTGTGGCACGTGTGCCATAGGTTCACCATAGTGGCTTTATACAAATCCTTAAGGAGCCGTAAGGCAATGTACTAATCTTGGAAATGAAATGGAAATGGGAGTTGAGTTTATTCTTTTACTATTTCTTAGAGTGGCAATATGTCATTTTTTTTATTTAAAAAATGGTGTTTTACATGAAAGATTTTTAGAAAGTGTTTTAGTTTTGTTCAGATGCAAAATAGAGAATCTTAAGAAAGATTTTGAAAGGATCTAGTAATAGCATATCAACACTCAACATGGATAAAGTGTGATTGGGTTTTTCAAGGAGAGGTTCATTTTCAAGGAGAGGTTCATTTTCAAGGACCATTCAAAGTTACAATCGCCCTGAAAAAAGTGACATGACTATTTTTCACACTTCTGTTGCAGCATCCCTACGGTCATATGATTCAAAATTCAGATGCTTGGAACCAATGGTGGGTTTCAAAAATTGTTGGAACCTACTCTGTGGGTGTGGCCTCATTTGTGGGAGTGGCTTGCCGCCCATGTGACCGGATATGAAGATGCCGACGACACT